AGCCGGTGCGCAAGCCGTCATCTAAGCACAAGGCCAATGAGGAAGACGAGGACGGAAGTGCGCCAGTAAATAAGGCTCCTCGCGCCGATGACTCTGACGGCGACGAACCAATTCGTCAGGTCAATCGGACGGAGGCGCAAGCGAACTTTCACGGAGGCCGCGGTGGCAACGACAGAGGCGGATTCAGAGGCCGTGGCGGCGGTCGTGGAGGATTCCGGGGCGGTGATCGCGGTGGTTTTGGCGGCCGTGGTGGCTTCCGGGGCGGTGATCGCGGTGGTTTTGGTGATCGTGGTGGCTTCCGGGGCGGTGATCGCGGTGGTTTTGGCGGTCGTGGAGGCTTCCGCGGTGGGCGTGGCAATAATACACCCCGTTTTGGTCCCCCACAGCCCACACTTGATATGAAGCGCCAGAGTATTAAGTTTGGCAGTGATGATGATTAAACAAAGACTCCAGTGTACCATATTTTTTCTTTCTTTAGTGAATAAAAAATAAGCATTCCTGCATTTTAAACGTTAAGCTGTGATAAAGCTGATTAAAGGTGTTGCTATTCTTAGAGAGACTCACACCACTTTCATATAATTCTTTTGTTTTGTGATCTAAATTAATACAAGGTTAACACTCTAATATAAACTATTGAAAAAAGAACAAGACTAAATGCATTTGTTGGCATAAAAATATAAGGAAAAATATCATTGCAATTTCAGGCTAAATAATTTTTGTCATCTATTCTCCCATGCCTATTTGTCTAAAATAATACCCTATATAATAAGAAGGTGCTGTCAATCAGAGTGGCTAAAGAAAAATTTTGTACATACAAGCCCAAACGTGACAAAGGAAAATTGACTTGACGCAGATGAACTCAGAATGCGGACGAAAGAAGGATATCAAAAGGATATCTCTGACCCCTCTGTCGACAACTAGCATCACTTTTGACATCAACGATGTCGAATGGTCAAAGCTGGAAAGTAAGTTCAATCAACTTATAGATCTTAGAAGTGCCTCCGTTCCCGGCATAAGCTCCGCACAAGCACGAACCGAACACTGGGATAAGGTTTCCAGTATTATTTCCTCCCTTCTGGAACAAGCCCTTGTAGAGTGCAGTGCTTTCCTTTTTCAAGGAAAGGCTGAGGAAGCTGAAGTAGCCGGTATGCAGACCTTGCGACTGCGCGAACGCTTCTATGGACCAAAAGATCTCCAACTCGTGCCTGTCTATTTTCACCTTGCTCGTGTGAAGCAATATATGAAGAAATATCAGGAATCCGAAGAAATGCTTTTGCTAGCTCAGTTCCTCATTCTGAAAAAACAAGAAGAGGTGTCCATCTCAACAAAAGCCGAGCTTCATCAGACCTTTGGGCTGCTTTATGCTTCAGATAAAAAGCTCGAAAATGCAATCAAACATTTGAGCTGCGCCTCATATTATTTTAGCTGCATGTACGGCCCACAACACGTCCTTACAACCTTTAGCTATTTCGATTTGGGTAATGTTTTTGCTGCCAATTCAAACATAGAGAACTCAATGGCCACATACGACACCATTAAGGAAATATGGTATTCATATTTAGTGGACGTTTTGAATGAAATCGTTCAGAAAAAAAAAGAGTCCGAAAAGCTCAAAAAATACGAGGATGGGGAAGAAAATAGAAAGCTGGTCTACGCTTCTAAGCAAGCATTCGGTGCTGAAAACTTAACCGTCACCTCGAAGATGTTGAATGGAATTTACAACATCCAAAAGGAACGATTTCAGGTACTACACCCAACCCCGACGCGATCGGAGTTTATTTTAGGGCTTTTCCTGCTTTGGGTAGAGGACGACAGCGAGGCTGAGGTACATATGATAGAGGCCCACAAAGCCTCGCAGGTCTTTTACGGTGAGCGCCATCCGGTCGTGACGGAAATTGAGGATTGGTGCAAGAAGTTTGACATCAGTTATGTCGAGGACACACAGGGCAAGGATGACAGCGAGAGTGATCACCCTGAGAATGAAGCCGATGAAGAATAGAACAGGGGTCATTTTGAGATGGCGCGGACTCTCATGCGATGATTGGGTGTGAAGGTTTTCGGGTTATCTTGGTTTATTTCTCTTGCAAATTATCATGGTTGGGGGTTTGGTTCTATTCAACACGTTACTGAATATTGATAGATGTACAACTCGATTTATTGAACAAATTATGTACTATACACAACGTGTAAATCATCAGCCGCAGTGTTTTTTTTTCGGATTTATATGTTTTTTATTTCCCTTTCGGATATTCCTTTTTACCAATTGAGCCCAATAGTGGCAGCGGTTAACTACCAGTGGTCTCACATTACATTAACCGGCAAAAATTGATGTCTACGGTCTCAGACCGTATCACTGTAATTTATTCCATAAATGCGACCTTGACTTATTATTTACCCTCTTTGATTATTTGTTCGACGAACCCCATTTTCATCATACTATATTACTTAGATTCATATTCCATAAAATATTTAAACGTGCCACACTAAGGTATTTATTTCAAAACGAGAGCTCCCTGATTAAGCCTCAAAAGCACATATCCTTTGTTCTCGCACCCCTCACCTCCCCTCTTTACAACATGTCTTTGGATAAAATGCTCGATCTTCAGCTACAGCTGAAGTTCACCGCCAAGCAATTCTCCAAGAACTCCATTCGCTGCGAAAAGGAACAAAAAAGCGAGATGAACAAGTGTAAGAAGGCGATTGAAAAGAACAACTTAGAGGGGGCTCGCATCTATGCCGAAAACTGCATCCGAAAGAAGAATGAGGCGCTCAACAACCTGCGCCTTTCGGCCCGCATCGACGCGGTCGTCTCGCGCCTGGAGACGGCAATCAAGACGAAGATGGTGATGAAGAATATGGGCCAAATGGTGCGCGGAATGGAGGTGATGTTGAAGACGATGGACCCTGCCCAGATCGGCCACGTCATGGAGGGCTTCGAGAAGCATTTCGAGACAATGGACGTGACGTCGACGTACATGCAGGAGGCGATCGGCGATAGCGTCGCGACGACGACACCGGAGGACGAGGTCTCTCACCTCATCGCGCAGGTCGCCGACGCCCACGGGCTCGACCTGAAGGTCAAATTCGACGACAAACTCCGCATTAACGATACCAAACTGACCACACAAGCCCCGGAGGAGACGGTCCAGGATAAGGAGATGGTGGAGCTGGAGGAGCAGTTCGAACGGCTCCGTAGGCGTTGAAAGTTGACAGAACGATAGACTTAAACGCAACTACAAGGAAAAAAAGTGGATGGTGCGGATGGTTGTTAATTGGGACAAAATAGAGAATGTCAAAGTACAATTTTCTATAGATTTCCTACAGTTAAAATTTGTGATGTGTTTTATCCTCAATATTGCATTTATTTTATTAGGAGATGGGTCGAAGAACATATTCAGATGCTTTATATTTTTTTGACATTTTTTCTTCAGATACTACTTGTCTGTTTTTTTTTTTGATAAATCATGCAAAGATACAACGTTATGCACATGCATTGTCTCTTTCCACTGATAGTATGTGTGCATAAAGACTGCTACATCATATTCACACTAAGCATGTGATTGAACATACATGAATAAAAAACGAAATAGAATCGTCAGGTGGTGACCCTATTGTAGCCCATAACCTTTTTTTTCCTAATTGAACTGAAGGAAGGAGGTGAATAGAATTATTTAAATATTTTTATTCATTCACACAAATGAACTCCTACTTCTTTTATAGTTTTAGAAAAAAAAGTCATACTTTAGGAATAACCTTTAGTATTTCTGTGCTTAAGTATTATATTCATCTTTTAGAAATTTTAGAGGCGGTAAAAAATTTGTGAGATTATTTATTCAAGAATTATATGCCTATCAACTTCAAACCAATCTTGAAGTTTAAGTAAATGCGTGAAAGTCACTATGGTTCCGTAAAGAATACCCCGGACGCATGCCACAATATCTCGTCTCCTACGGTGCGCTTCCACAGTCCGAAGACGCGTGAGGCCATCCAACCCAAGGCGGTACTGTCCACTCTGACGCTCTTCGGTGTGATGTACGTCTCCACGATTAGTGGGTGTTATGGCATGGAGAATTCGGTTCGCTCTGGCGGACCGCTGCTATCCATTATCTTTTTCCTTTTAATCCCCCTTGTGTGGGGTGTTCCAGTCTCGATTTGTGTGGCTGAGCTCTCCTGCGCCATCCCATCCAACGCGGGACCTGTGATGTGGGTGAACTGCGCGTTCCAACCCTGGGTTACCTTCACGACGATTCTATGGACAACCTTTCTTAGTACGGTGGATAACAGCTTATATCCGGAGATCCTCGCGGATTACTGTGCGATGCTGTTTGACATCGACTCCGTGACGAAGACGTGGGTAAAGATTGGTTTCCTATCTCTGTGTATGGTCGTCAACATAGTCGGGTTTAGACTCCTGGGGCCTCTTAGTGTTTTTATCGTCATCATCACGCTTGTCCCGTTTGTTCTCATGTTCGCCTTGCAGCTCCCGCACGGCCTGAATTGGGAGCGCATCGGCTATGTACCTGAGACGATCAATTGGGCCCTCTTCCTGCCAGTCGTCGCGTGGAATTTTTCCGGCTTCGAGGCGGTGGGAAACGTCATCGAGGAGGTGAAGAATCCAAAGTCGGCGTACATCCGTGCGCTGGTCCTAATGATCTTAGCCTCTTTTCTCACCTACATTCCTCCTATTCTAGCCGGGGCGAGCGTTCAAGGGCTCGAAAAAGTTCCCTTTGAAAATTGGGATAACGGCTTCTGGGTGAAGGTCGGGGCCGCCGTTGGCGGAACCCCGCTGGCCGCCACGGTGCTCATTGGTGGTGCCATGTCGATGTTTGGCCTGATGACAACGCTTATAGCGACCACATCCCGGGCTCTAACCGGTATAGCCGCAATCAATGCTTTTCCCACCTTTATTTCAAATTGGCTTCAGAAATATTCCATGACGTTTAACGCCCATGTAAACGCTATCGTTTTGAACACGATGTTAACCGGTACTCTTTCAATCTTCTTTAGCTTCCAGACATTAGTGCAAATCGATCAGGTACTCTACGCCTTGCGACTTATCACCATCTTGCTTACTTTTCTCAAACTGCGCATTTCCCAGCCCCTACTCGAGAGGCCCTACCGTGCACCGGGTGGGAAGTTTGCGGCCTGTCTATGGGCTGGGGTCCCTATCTGCTTTAGTCTCTTTCTGGTCGTCATGACGGTGGGAGTAAGTCCTTTTATATTTTATACTAGTGCTCTATTAATCTTCGGGTCGATCCTGATATCAGTCGTGATCGTGAATTTTTTCAAGTGCGATGGGTTTGAAGGGTCACTTGTGGAGGCGTATGAAGATCCTGATATTCAAGCCTATGAGTCTTTTCTGGGGATTGAGTCGGAGCAGTGGCGAAAGCATCATTCGACCAGTATCTTTATTGAGCATCCAAACCAAATTTGCCTTGAGCGCTTTGTAAACATAATATAGATACTGGTTTGTGTATATATAGATTGAAATAAATGCTTAAGGTGTGCAGATTTCATATAATAGGCATGCCAAAATATGTTAAAGTAATTTTAGGATTAGGAAGACACTAGATAAATTGGATTATATACACATTATTTTTGCAAAATACAGCAAATATTTCAACCTTCACGTTATTATTCTTGCCCCACTAACATTGTCCCTTACAAATAAATATATAAATATTCATTACCAAAGGGATTGAAGCTCCTCTAACGATAAACTCATCAAACCGGATGTTTAAAACACCTATCAACACTTAATTTGCATTATTTGACTCTTCTATATACTACTAAAGAAAAAAAACCTTCTATTCATAAAAATGACATCCACACTCTTTACATAATCTCACCATGGATAGATTTTTCTATAAGCTGCTCTTACCCATATTCCCCCCTCCCAGATCCTCGGTATTTTTGTTTCTCCTCTTGGGAATATATAATTAAGGTAATTATCTTTTTTTTTTTCACTCTAAGTTTCGAATATGTTATCTATTCATCACCACCCGAAGGTTTGGGATGCGCGTTATTTGAATCCCACCGTCCCGCATGATTCGAAGTACTATTTAAATTGTGTTGGCGGAGGTATCCTCGCTTGTGGTATCACCCACACCGTGGTCTGCCCGCTTGATGTGGTGAAGTGCAATATGCAGGTAACCCCTGAAAAGTACAAATCGCTCCCCAAAGGGATGTCGCTTATTATGCGGGAGCAGGGCTTCGGCAGTTCAGGCCTCTTCAAGGGCTGGATTCCGACGCTTTTGGGCTACTCGGCGCAGGGTGCCTTTAAGTTTGGCTGTTATGAAATGTTTAAGGACTTGTACTCAAATATGGCGGGTGAGGAACTCACCAAAAAGTGCACTGGCTTAATTTGGCTGGCGGGCTCCGCCTCTGCCGAGTTCGTGGCGGATATCTTTCTCTGTCCCTTCGAGATGGTGAAAATTAAGGTTCAGACCTCTCCCAAAGGTAAATTCCCCACCAGCATGAAGGCGGCGATATCTAAAATGAGGTCGGATAAAAGCAGCGGGTTTCCGTTCAAGTCTTTGGTACCTCTGTGGGGACGCCAGATCCCCTACACCATGGCGAAGTTCTTCTTTTTTGAAAAAGTGGTGCGATGCTTCTATAAATACGTTTTTAAGGGGCCCCGGGATAGTTATAGTAAGGCCACACAGCTGAGCATCACGTTTATGTCAGGCTACATCGCAGGTATTATCTGCGCAATTGTATCCCACCCCGCAGATTCCTTGGTTTCGGCCCGCGGCAAAGCTAGTAATGCGAGTAAGTCGTACGGACAGATCGCAAAGGAGATGGGATTTATAAACATCTGCACAAAAGGCATGGGAACTCGTATTTTGATGATCGGGACGTTAACTGGATTACAATGGTGGATCTACGATAGCTATAAAACGGCCCTTGGCATGGGTACCAGTGGTCATTAAAAAAAAAGAGAAATCAATTTAACATTCTTGATCCTTTTTTATATATAAAATAAGTGCGGGATGTTTAGCCCCCTTTAATGCATAGAGTATTTATATTTTTAAAAAAGTCTGTGAAATGTATGTATTACCATTGATAAAACTGATTCAACTTTACTCTAAGGCAAAGAGGAGCATTCCAGTTTTTGTTTAGAATTAATTCGATATCAATAGGAATCCATTCCATCGATCGGAGTGGATTAATGTTAATATAAAATAATTGTTTAATGTTTATGATTTAGAAACAATGGATAGTATGGGTTTTTTTTATAAAATTTAGGTCTGTAATGATGAATATAGAAAGAGAGACGTAAGATTTCAAATCAATTTACTCTCTTTATTATGGCTTTAAATTCCGATACATTGCTTTCTTACCCATGGCAGATGATCAATATCTTAAGGTAACAGACCATAGAATCGATAAGGGCTATTTTAGTGATCAATAGAATAAGCAAAAGAAAAAGTAAATGCCCGTTGACTTGAATTCACTCACGGTAGAGGAGGGGTATGTTGTTTGGTGTGAGCGCATTCGCATGCTTTTTCAAACACCTTTTTCTCCTTGTGATCGTTACCGTACCGACCCTTATGAACGGGTCTATTCAGGAAAACATACGAGCTCCGAGGAAGGTCCATCCTCCGAGGCTTTCCTGCATTCCTCCCCCCCATCAAACACGCCTGACGACGTCGAGAACGTGGACCTTTCGACGAAGAAAGAGGGTTTCTCGGGTGCGGAGGACTCCGCATCGACTACTTATTATGACCAGAAGCTATATCCATTTTGCTTCTATATGAAAATGCTCCAAACCGCGCGCGAAGTGGATTCCTCCCGTCAGCCCCACAAGGCGCACCCCGAGCTCGACGCCTTCAACGCGGCGGACGCCGCCGCGGATCGCCTGGCGATTAAACTACGCAATGAAGCCGCGCAAATGCGAAGGCAAAACGACGCCGAGTCGCGCCGGACGGAGTCGGGATGCCGAAAGGGGGTCCAAACGAACGCGAGGTGGCGTCCAGATCCCACGCCATCCCGTGATCCGACGTTGGAGGCGATGTTGTCCGCCATGCACGACGATATGACGGAACTACTGCTCTACGCCAACAATAGAAATCGGGCCTCGCACGAGCTGCAATCTCAGTTGGCGTATAGCAAACGACTCCTGCTTCGATATTCTGCACCCGATGAAGACGATTGTTTGATAGATAAAAGTGATGGCTAGCGACTTTGATACACTGACTGCTATAAAAGCCGAACTGATCAAAACAAAAGGTCTTTGTTTCTAAAAAGATTGATGCAATCTCAGAAAGGGCACGATGCATCAACCATTAATTTTATCTTTCGGATTGTTTTTTCCCTGTTTTAATCGCTTTACGTATTGTTATTGTGACGCGGTGCGTAGGATTTCTTTCTTCATCTATTTCAGTTGTCTGCGTAGTTACTTCAGAAAGGAAAAGGCACGAAAATTTATAATTATCTAAGCCATTTACAAGATTAATCACGTTAGATATTTAAAGCTCGAAGCAGATATACATACCAAACGAAATATGGATGAAGACATTCCAGCAACGTTTTTATGCAGCCTCATAGGTCATAAGGTACATGTTAAAAGTAAGTGGGGGCCAGTCTATTCAGGTACACTTGTAAGCTGCGATGCGTACATGAACTTGCAGCTATCCGACGCGGTGGAGTCGGCGAAGGAGGAGACCACCCTGGGGGAAATGCTACTCCGGAACAATAATATCCTCTACATAAGAGAAGTACCTAACGCGTGATAGAAGCGATAAGAAAAAGATATATGCCGATCATGTCTAACTCGTGTGTGGTGTAGACCACTTCCGTTTGCGTGTTTCCACCGTCCCCCTACCCAACGCCAGTGTAATGAAAGGCGGTATTTTAAAAAAAGAAAATGTTGACTGTGATTCTAATCTTTCTCCCTCCCTCCTTGTGTGGGTTTCCCTTTAATTGCGGGCTGTCAACGGCGTCATGCGCGGTGGCTTTCCCGACAAACACCTACCTTGCAACCTCCTCCTTTTCTCTCTCTTTATACATATATCCGTATATATATATATATATATTCTTGTTATTCTAACGACACTAGTAAACGCAAAGCAAAGCCAAAAAAAAGCTAATAAACGCACCTACAGCGACCTCTCCGATTTCAACCGACCTTATCATGACGCACATTCCGATGAAGTGGGCCGAGCGAGAGGACCGGCTCTACCTCACCCTGCAGGTGACCGCCGCGCGCGACGTCCGGGTCGACTTCGAGGCGAAGAAGATCACCGTCAGCGGGACGGGCCTCACCGCGCAGACCGCCGAGCCGCGCGAGATCCGAAGCGAGCTCCCCCTGCTGAAGGAGATCGCCCCGGCGGAGTCGACCTACAAGGTCCTCGGCGTCGCCATCCAGATCTGCGCGATCAAGAAGGAGGCGGGGTACTGGAACCAGGTCGTGGACCTCCCGGCCCGGCAAACCAAGACCTGGCTCTCCGTGGACTGGAACCTGTGGAAAGACGAGAACGACGCCCCGGAGGAGGACCGCGGGGCCGGGTTCGGGGGCTATGGAGACATGTCCTCCATGCTTGGCGGCGGCCAGGGCGGGATGGACTTCGCCTCGATGATGCAGAACATGCCGCCCGGCGGCGGGGACTCCGATGACGAGGACGAGGACTACCCCGTCGACGGCGAGGCCGACGAGGACGAGGACGTCCCTAAGGAATCGACCCCGGAGGACAAGGCGGACGATTTGAAGGTGAATGCTTAACTATTATTAATTTATTTACCTTTTATATTAAATTTTTCGTAATTTATTTATATTATTATTGGGCATTTGTGACAGGGTGATAAACTAGATGAAAAAAAATAGGAAAAAGGGAAGCGGATAGTTTAACCTATTATAATAGTTCACAGTATATACCCCTATTTAAAATCTGAAGGATGAAGATATTAAACTAAGAATAAAATGGTGAATCGTGCGATGAAAGAGTAAAATATCAAGCTTGATTGTGAGACCGGTCTGAACACTTCAAATAACTTATTTAATAGAATATTATTAAGATTACCACTGCATATTTAAATTTACTGTCAGTTTACTTTCCAAGTGACATTCGCAGTAAATTCCTCTCAAATGACTTGTTCCTCGATGATAGTTTTTCTGAATCCCTTGCACTCGTAAACTCTCTATTTTATTGATAAAGGTTGAAGGCTATGTACAACAAATGATATATTTTTAGCTAGAACATTTTTAAACCCCAACTTAATTATAAAATGTTCGCTCTCGAAGGAGAAAACTTAGCGCTTATAAATCGACTGAATGATTTTTTTGTATCAGGTCAAAACACTGACTTTATTGGCAATTTTTTTAGTGAAAAGGGCAAAACTCTCTCGAAGGTGCTTCAGGACGGATTCACCACAGACTCGGAGCTTGGCTTGGAGGTCTACGCATTATATAAGGAGTACAGTCGAATTATTGAGGAGATTTTCAATGCATTTATCAAAAACGAGTCCATTCAGGGTAGACTATTGACTGACGAACAGGTAGCAAGGCTTATCCTGGAGTTGGTTGAGGACCCCGCCATCTCGTTGGAGTATGTCTGTGTGGATTATATCGCGGGGCAGTTGATGTTTGATAAATTCGTGAATTTGGCATCGGATATGTGTGGCCTCCTGAATGCAGAGTGGACGAAATCGGAAGAGGAAGAGGAAGAGGAGGAGGAGGCTGAAGACGACATGGCATGATGTTTTGGGTTTCTTTAAGCAGAAGGGAATAAATTTTCGAGACAACAAAGGACAATCTAGGGGGGCCGTACTCTTTGCGACTTTTTTTTTTGATAAATCTTTGAAATAGCAAATCTTCGCCGGGGGCATCGGAGTATCTGGTAAATACTCTATCTAATATTTGCTTATAAAGTTAGGCAAATGATTAGCTACACGGAAAAGAAAGAACAGAGAATAACTAAAGCCCCTTTGTATCCCCATACACTAGACAGGATAGGGTTGCATATATTGGTTTTTTCCTCCTGAATAATTTCACCGCACTTTGTGGCCTATCGAGATCCGTCAAACCGTTGTATTTAATCTGAAAATGGCTTACTGATCATTGCAAGACATTTACCATCCGTCGGATGACCAAAATGCATTTTTATTTCATCATGGTATTACCTTACGTAAAGAACACTCGAATCGAGTTTCGGAAGTTTACTGTAGGCGAGGATGTTTGAGAGCAAATTCAGGATGTAGTAATTGGTCTTCGTGCTCCATTTATTAGCATTTTGGTCCTTTCACTGCGGATGGTATCTCCTTTTCACAGACTGTAGAACTCTAAGAAAGACCGCAAGAACCGCTTGGTTCGAATTCAAAGCGGCCGAACGGGTTAACGGTTGCCTTTTTGGTAATTGACTGATAGAGTGCAGTCCATTAGAACGTATTTAAAAAACCACCAATAATAGAAATTACGCGAGAATGACAACGATCTTTCTACCATGGAAATTTTTATCGAACGCCTGTTGAACTTTTTCACAGTGTGCATGGATGTGCTTTTCAATTAAAAAAAGCCTCATGTGCTTCAGTAAGATTTATTCTTTAAGGGAGTAAACCCTAGACCTAAGATAATCTGGGGCACTGTAAAACTATGCACAAGAGATAATCCTTTATCAGGGAAAAAACGAGTACTGAAATCGCAAAGGTTTTCCAAAGCGTTATTCCAAATCACTAAATATTAGTGGCTCCACCTGACGCAAACTAGAAATTCACCCTCCTTTTATTATTTACAGCTTACTAAAATGTGTATACCACTAATTTCGTCTACCGAACGTATTTATTGCGTATTGATATGCGAAGTATTTGTCTAATGTGATATATATTCCATCGCTTGGGGTTTAACCCCCTGTGTATAAACGATAGGGCGCCGTGTGCGCACCCCACACCAATAAAAAAAAATGTCGAACTCAACCTACAAGCCACAAACGGCGTGGCAATCCAAAGGATGGACGGCACTTGGCGGATGTTCTTCGGGCCTTCCCCATGATTGGAGGCTTTTCTCCCGCTCTTTTCATTCCCTTTTTTTTAGCTTCACACAAGGAGGACAGTGCTCGTCAAAAGGTGACTTCGCTTCCATTTTTACCGTCTTCCCTCTAAACGTCCATCCCCGAAGCGTTTGAGTTTCGTTGTGGTGGGCCGACGATGGAGATCCGGATTAAAGGCCTCCACGCCGTGGCCCAGTGGGGCTGGGATTGCAAAGGGGACACCTGCGGGATTTGCCGCCGCCTCTTCGAGGCCCCCTGCCCGTGTTGTAATTTTCCCGGCGAGAATTGCCCACTTCAAACGGGGCGTTGTCATCACACGTTTCACCTGCACTGCATTGAAAAATGCACCTCCGCGGAGGATAATATGGCCTGCCCGATGTGCCGCCAGGCGTGGGAATGAGCAGAGATAATAATAAAAAAATCACAAAGGGGTGGAAATGAGAGCGAAAAAAAAATAGACAACGAGAGCAATGAACGATAGAGACAACAGAATGGAACTCCTTTGGAGGAGAATCCGAATGGGGTGCAATCGAATAGGGATCCATCCACAACACACATCAGGGGTTTAAATACGTACATAATGCACCATGCCAGGTGAACGCTACACACTTCCCACACCTTTATTTTTCTATTGCGAGCTCACCACAAAAGGGGATTGAAGTTCTCTTCACATCGCCATACAAGGAAGGTTTCTCATTGCGGATTGCCATGCGTCGGAGCGCGCGGCGGCTGCTAAACCCCCCCGGGGTATTAAAAACGGCGATCGGCGACCCGACGGGGCTCGTCGTGAAGGCGAAAAAAGAGGCCGCGGCGAGGCGGCACGCGGCGGCGCCGTTCCCGCCCTTGGAGGCGTGGACCTCGCTCGGCTCGGGTTTCCCGCAACTACTCCAGCCCGAGAGCCCCCCCAGGCCCCCTCTAGGCTCCTTTCGATTGAGAACTTTTCTGGCTTTTATGGCCGTCGGGGCCGCGGTGGGCGGGGAGTTGTATTACCTCCTCAATGTCGATATCGCCCACCTGATCCGCGAGGAGCAGCTCGCGATGGAGGAGCTGCGGGAGCGACGGCGGCTCACCACGCCGGAGCGGGAGAAGGCGTTCCCCGACTTCACCGCCCCCGACACCTACGAGGAGCTCCAGCGGCTGATGCAGGAGCAGGCCTGCGAGATTGCGACTCAGGAGGCGGAGATCCGCTCCGCCACGAGCATGCTCCGCTCCGAGGTGGTATATCGCCTGAAGACGTGGTGGAATCACTCCCTCTCGCACCTGCAGGACGCCGTGGAGCTTTTTTTTATCGCCCTCGAGCAGCGAAAGGCGTCGGGGCTGCGGAATAAGATCGAGACCACCCTCCGCTGTAATTTATACGAGTTGGTCGAGCTCCACCCGATTAGTACTAGGGAGATGGACGATGAGGCTTAGCTAAGCAATGCCGTAGCGCGCATTTTTTTTTTTGTATTGGGGGTGTTATATTTTGTTCTTTTTTGCAAAGCCCTCGGCGTCGCCCTTGCGGCTTTTTTTTCTTCGCGTTCTTTTGGTTTGTTTAGCCCTAAAAGGGGGTCGTGTTGGTGACGAGTGGGATCACCGGCCAATTGATGCGCGAGAACCACGCAAAGCCACATCCCTTAATGCGACCCATTACCCCCCCCCCCTAACTTCCAGCTGAGATGTCCTTTATTTACTCTTCTTTCCCCCTCTCCCGGGCCTGGGATTCGCTATCTTTTTATGGTTTGTCGATTATGGAATAGTGAAGGAGTTCTTTGCGTCAAAAAAGCGAGCACATTGCAAAAGGGCCGACGTGGGTTGTGGTGCCCGCTCGTAGCCGTATCGTCTGACAGGGCCGTTCCTCCTTAGGAGCGCGCCGACCCCTTCTTCGGCCTGTGGGAAGGGGCGGAAAAGGGGGACTTTGGTGGGGCCGAAAAGAGGGGCTGAGGGCGGGCTGAGCCGTGGAGCGGGAGCGGGGATGGAGCGGCCGCGGGAGCGG